AAAAAAAAAAAAAAATGCTCCCATGAAAGGAAATTACCAAAAAAAGGTGATATTAAAGGCTGAAAAAGAGTAAAAATACAGTGACTTAAAAATAAATGAGTCATGGAAGGTATAGCTAAAATACAAAGTGGCTGCTAGAATACAAGCTGTGTGAAGGAGAAAAAGAAGGCAGTAAAGCAGTAAAGTGTGAAGCAATCAGAATTTTTATCAGACTTAAGGAAGCACCGAAGAACTGGAAGTTATCCAAACTAAATGAGTGGAAGGTATGTAGGCCAAGCTAGAATACATACAATAAAGGGAGAGAAACTTCAGCTGTCTATTATCTATATCTGAAACCCCAATTAGCAGCAACTGAAGAATTAGGGTTATTTAAAGAGTTCTTAGGAGGCAGAGTAGTCTAGTGGTTAAAAAAAAAAAAACTCAAAAATAGACTGCATGACAATTTGCAACTGCAAAAATATAGAACCAGCCCAAATGCCTATCAACAAGTGAATAAAGAAATTGTGACATATATATACACACTAATACTATGGAATACTACTCACTACTAACTCAGGAATGGAAAACCAATCATCATATGTTCTCACTCATACGTGAGAGCTAAGCTATGAGGATGCCTGGACTTTGGAGACTTGGGGAGAAAGGATGGGAGTGGCAAGGGATAAAAGACTACACATTGGGTACAGTGTGCACTGCTCAGGTGATGGATGCACCAGCATCTCAGAAATCACCACTAAAGAATATATTCATCTAACCAAACACTACCTGTTCCCCAAAAACCTATTGAGATAAAAAAAATTAAGATATTTTTAAAAGAAAAAAAATAGACTGCAAGAATTGAAATTCAGCCTTAGATGGCTGCAAGATCTCTCATCCTACAACTGTGACCTTGACACTCCTCCCACCCAGAAGTGATGGTCTCTGTTCCCTACTCCTTAAATCTTGGTGGCTTATGACTGGCTTGTAACTAACAGCTGGTAGACTGTAAAAGGCAATAAAGTTAACACCACATGTACCAAACTGCTTGGCATTTAAGAGCCATGAACTGCCATATATTAAGTCCAATGATCTTGAGATGCCCATACTGTAAGAAAGGCAACCCAAATGGAAAGTCTAACATAATGGCTCTCCAATTGGTAGTTCCAGTCTTCATGGCTTCTAGGCACCAGATATGTGAGTGAAAGAAGCTTCCTATTATTCCAAGAGTCGCCAGCATTGAATCTTTCCAGCTGAGGGCCCCAGACAAGTCATCCAGGCTATGCTCCATTTGAATTATTGACTCACAGGCATAATACAACCATTGTTCTTTGCCACCAAGTTTGGAGTGGCTTGGAATACAGCAAAAGTAACCAAAACAGCCACCACTCCTCTTCCATGATTCAGTCTCTTCCTATGTACAATGGGGATAAAAATACCGATCTTCTTAGGTTTTTTAAAACTTCCAAGTATATAATAAATATGAAACTTTCAGCATAGTGCTTCAAACATAACATAAACTCAAGAAATGTTAACTATTATTACTGCTACCAGGTAAAAATAAAATAAACACCCTCTGGATAAACACAATCGAAGTTTGTATAAACATAAGCATTAGTGATTTACAGAGTATTTTGACACAAAATCAATCCGTGCTACAATACATGATATCAAAACATACCTGTTAAAAACATGATCTTCAACTGTGAAATTAAACTTTAAAATTCTTTCAAATGATAAAAGCAGAGATGTGAAAAACTATTTTAAATTTTTTTTTCATTTTTTTTTATTTCCATAGGTTATTGGGGAACAGGTGGTGTTCAGTTACGTAAGTAAGTTCTTTGGTGGTGATCTGTGAGATTCCAGTGCACCCATCACCTGAGGAAAATACACTGCAACCAGTTTGTAGTCTTTTAACCCTCACCCCTTTCTCACCCTCTGCCCCTGTGGCCCCAAAGTCCATTGTGTCATTCTTATGCCTTTGCATCCTCATAGCTTAACTCCCACTTATAACTGAGAACATATGATGTTTGGTTTTCCATTCCCAAGACACTTCACTTAGAATAATAGTCTCCAATCTCATTCAGGTCACTACAAATGCCATGAATTCATTCCTTTTTATGGCTGAGGAGTATTCCATCATATACATATATACCACAGTTTCTTTATCCACTCATTGACTGATGGGCACCAGGGCTGTTTCCACATATTTGCAATTGTGAATTGTACTGCTATAAACACGCGTGTGCAAGTACCCTTTTCATATAATGACTTCTTTTCCCCTGGGATTGTAGTGGGATTGCTGGATTAAATGGTTGTTCTACTTTTAGTTCTTAAATGAATCTCCACACTGTTTTCCATAGTGGCTGTATAAGTTTAAATTCCCATTAGCAGCATAGAAGTGCTCCCTGTTTACCACATCCATACCAGCATCTGTTATTTTTTGATTATGGCCATTCTTGCAAGAGTAAGGTGGTATCGCATTTCCCTGATAATTAGTGATGTTGAGCATGTCTTCATATGTTTGTTGGCCATTGCATATTTTCTTCTGAGAATTGTCTATTCATGTCCTTAGCCTACTTGTTGATGGATTTTTTTTTTTCTTGCTAATTTGTTTGAGTTCATTGTAGATTCCGGATATTAGTCCTTTGTCAGATGTATAGATTGTGAAGATTTTATCCCAATCTGTGGGTTGTCTGTTTATTCTGCTGACTGCTCCTTTTGCTGTCCAAAACCTCTTCAGTTTAATTAGGTCGTAGCTATTTATCTTTATTTTTACTGCATTTGCTTTGGGTTCTGGTCACGAAATCCTTACAAAGTCAACGTCTAGAAGGGTTTTTCCAATGTTATCTTCAAGAATTTTTATAGTTTCAGGCCTTAGATTTAAGTTCTTGATCTACCTTAAGTTGATTTTTGTATAAGGTGAAAGGATACAGTTTCATTCTCCTACATGTGGCTTGCCATTTATCCCAGCCCCATTTGTTGAAGAGAGTGTCTTTTCCCCATTTTGGTTTGCTTTATCAAAGATCAGTTGGTTTTAAGTATTAGACTTTTTTTCTGGGTTCTCTATTCTGTTCCATTGGCCTGTGTACCTATTTTTATACCAGTACCATGCTCTTTTGGTGACTATGGCCTTATAGTATAATTTGAAATCAAGTAATGTGAGGTCTCCAGATTTGTTCTTTATCCTTTGGCTATGGGGGCTCTTTCTTGGTTCCATATGAATTTTAGGATTGTTTTTTCTAATTCTGTAAAGAATGACAGTGCTATGCTGATGGGAATTGTGTTGAATTTGTAGATTGTTTTTAGCAGTATGGTCATTTTCACTATATTAATTCCATCCATCCACGAGCATGGAACATATTTTTGCATTTGTTTGTGTCATCTATGATTTCTTTCAGCAAGGTTTTGTAGTTTTCCTTATAGCGGTCTTTCGACTCCTTGGTTAGGTATATTAAGTATATTCCCAAACATCTTTTTTTTTTTTTTTTAAGCTATTATAAAAGGGGTTGAGTTCTTGATTTGATTCTCCACATGGTTGTTGTTGGTATACAAAAGAGCTACTCATTTCTGTACATTAATTTTGTATCTGCAAACTTTGCTATATTATTTTATTAGTTCTAGGAGCTTTCTGAAGGAGTCCTTAGGGTTTTCAAGGTAAACAATCGTATCATCAGCAGAGACAGTTTAGCTTCCTCTGTACTGATATGAATGCCCTTTATTTACTTCTCTTGTCTGACTGCTCTTGCTAGGACTTCAAACTATGTTAAGAGGAGTGATAAGAGCAGGCATTCTTGTCTTGTTCCAGTTCTCCGAGGGAATGCTTTCCATTTTTCCCTATTCAGTATTATGTTGGCTGTGAGTTTATCATAAATGGCTTTTATTACACTGAGGTGTGTCCCTTGTATCCAATTCTGCTGACAGTTTTAATCATAAAGTGAAGCTGGATTCTATCTAATGCTTTTTCTGCATCTATTGAGATAATCATGTGATTTTTATTTCTGTTTGTGTGTGATGTATCACATTTACTGCCTTGCATATGTTAAACTATCCCTGCATCCCTGATATGAAACCCACTTGATCATGGTGCATTATTTCTTTCGTATGTTGTTGGATTCAGTTAGCTAGTACTTTGTTAAAGATTTTGGCATCTATGTTCATCAGGAGTACTGGTCTGTAGTTTTCTTTTTTTGTTATATCCTTGCCCGGTTTGGTATTAGGGTGGTATTAGCTTCACAGAATGATTTAGGAAGTGTTCCCTCTCTCTATCTTGTGAAATAGTGTCAACAGGATTGGTACCAATTCTTTTAATGTCTGGTCATGGACTTTTTTTGTTGGTAATTTTTTAATTACCATTTCAATCTCGCTGCTTGTTACTGTTCTGTTCAGGGTACGCAATTCTTCCTGATTTAATCAAGGATTTTATCTTTCCAGGAATTCAGCCATCCCCTCTAGGTTTTCTAGTTTATGCACAGAAAAAAGTTCACAGTAGCCTTGAATAATCTTTTGTATTTCTGTGGTATCAGTTGTAATATATCCTGCTTTGTTTCTAATTGAGCTTATTTGGGTTTTCTCTCTTCTTTTCTTGGTTAATCTTGCTAATGGTCTATCAGTTTTATTTATATTTTCAAAGAACACGTTTTTTCTTTCATTTATCTTTTGTATTTTTTGTTTCAATTTCACTTAGTTCTGCTTTGATCTTGGTTATTTCCTTTCTTCTACTGAGTCTGGGTTTGTTCTTCTTTCTCTTGTTCCTTAAGGTGTGACCTTAGATTGTCAGCTTGTGCTCCTTCACACTTTCTGATGTAGGCATTTAGGGCTATTAACTATCCTCTTACTATCATCTTTGCTGTATACTAGAGGTTTCGAAAGGTGTGTCACTACTGTCTTTAAGAAAAATTTTTTAATTTCTATCTTGATTTCATTTTTGACCCAATGATCATTCATTTAATTTCCATGTATTTGCATGGTTTTGAAGGTTCCTTTTGGAGTTGATTTCCAGTTTTGTTCCACTGTGATCTGAAGGAGTGCTTAATATAAATTCAGTTTTTTAAAATTTACTAAGACTCATTTTGTCACCTATCGTATGATCTATCTTGGAGAAAGAACATGTGCTGTTGAATAGAATGTATATTCTGTGGTTGTTGTGTAGAATGTTCTATAAATATCTGTTAATTCCATTTGTTCCAGGGTATAGTTTAAATTCATTGTTTCTTTGTTGACTTTCTGTCTTCATGACCTGTCTAGTGCCATCAGTGGAGCACTGAAATCCCCCAATTTTACTGTGTTACTATCTCATTTCTTAGTAATTTCTATTAGTAATTGTTTTATAAATTGAAGAGCTTCAGTGTTAGGTGAATATATATTTAGGATTGTGACATTTTCCTGTTGAACATGGCCTATCATTATATAATGCCCATCTTTGTCTTTTTTAACTGCTGTTGATTTAAAGTTTGTTTTGTCCAATGTAAGAATAGCTACTCCTGCTCGCTTTCGGCATCTATGTGCATGAAATGTCTTTTTGCACACTTTTACCTTAGGTTTATGAGTTATCTGTTAGGTGAGTCTCCTGAAGACAGCAGATGATTGTTGGATTCTTATCCATTCTGTAATTCTGTATCTTTTAAGTGGAGCATCTAGGCAATTTACATTCAACATTAGTATTGAAATGTGACGTACCATTCCATTCATTGTGGTATTTATTGCCTGAATACCTTGGGTTTTTTTTGCTTTTGGCTTTTGCTTTTTAACTTGAATTTTTGTTTTATAGGTCCTGTGAGATTTATGTTTTAAAAAGGTACTGTTTTGATGTGTTTCCAGAATGTATTTCAAGATTGAGAGCTCCTTTTAGCAGTTCTTGTAGTAATGTTTTGGTAGTGGCAAATTCTCTCAGCATTTGTTTGTCTGAAAAAGACTGTATGTTTCCTTCATTTATGAAGCATAGCTTTGTTGGATACAAAATTCTTGGCTGATAATTTTGTTGTTGAGGAGCCACAAGATAGGACCCCAATCCCTTCTAGATTGTAGGGCTTCTGCTGAGAAATCTGCTGTTAATATGATAGGTTGTCTTTTATAGGTTACCTGGTATTTTTACCTCACAGCTCTTAAGATTCTTTCCTTCTTCTTAACTTTAGACAACCTGATGACAACATGTCCAGGCAATAATCTTTCCGCAATAAATTTCCCAGATTTTCTTTATTGAGCATCTTGTATTTGGATATCTAGTCTCTAACAAGACCGAGGAAGGTTTCCTGATTATTCCCCCAATAAACTTTAAAAAATTTTTTAGATTTCTCTTCTTCCTCAGGGAGGCTGATTATTCTTAGGTTTGGTCATTTAACATAATCCCAGACTTCTTGGAGGCTTGGTTCATATTTTCTTATTCTTTCTTTGTTGGATTGAGTTAATTCAAAAACCTTGTCTTCAAGCTCTGAAGTTCTGTCTTCTGCTGGTTCAATTCTATTGCTGAGACTTCCCCCAGCATTTTGCATTTCTGTAAGTGTGTCCATTGTTGCTCAAAGTTTTGATTATTTTTTATTTATGCTATCTATTTCATTGAATATTTCCCCCTTCACTTCTTGTATCTTTTTTTTTTTTTAATTTTCTTACATTAGGCTTCAGCTTTCCTTGGTGCCTCCCTCATCAGCTTAATAACTTACCTTCTGAATTCTTTTTCAGGTAAATCAGGGATTTCTTCTTGGTCTACATTCCTTGCTGATGAGCTAGTGATTTGGGCGGATATTAAAGAACCTTGTTTTGTCGTATTATCGGAGTTGGTTTTGGGTAAGCTCTGTCAGAGGTAAGTGTAGGGTTCAAGACTCTTCAGATTCTCTCTGTCCCATGGGGTGTTCCTTTATGTAGTACTCTTCCCCTGCTCCTAGAGATGTGGCTTCCGAAGAGCCAAACTGTAGTGATTATCTCTCTTCTGTATCTAGCCACACAGCAAGTCTCCCAGGCTCCAGCCTGGTACCAGGGGTTGTCTGCATGGAGTTCTGTAATGTGAACCATCTGTAGGTATTTCAGCCATGGATACCAGAACCTGCTCTGGTAGACACGGCAGGGCAGGGGGTGAAGGGGAGGGGTTGAAATGTACTCTGTGAGGCTCCTTAGCTTTGGTTGTTTAATGCACTATTTTTGTGTTGGTTGGCCTCCTGCTAGGAGGTAGCACTTTCAAGAAAGCATCAGCTGTGTAGTATGGGGAGGAACAGGAGGCGGGTAGGGCCTTAGAACTCCCAAGAGTATATGCCCTTTGTCTTCAGTTACTAGGGTGGGTAGGGAAGGACCATTAGGTGGGGTCAGGGCTAGGCATGTCTGATCTCAGACTCTCCTTGCGTGGGTCTTGCTGCGAGTGAGTATTTGGGGTATCTCCCAGGTCCTGCAGGAGCAACTGGCTTCCTGTGGGTTCTCTTGGCTTTCCTAACATATTCCTAAAGTGGTTCTGGAGCAAAAGTTCATGATGTGATCCTCCATATGCTGCTCTGTCCATCCTGGTGGAGCTGCAATCTAGTCCTGCCTCCTGTCCACCATGATTTCTCTATTTTTAAAATATTTTAAAATCCCATTCTTAGATATCAAAATGTAGGAAAACATTTTTATTAATATTTGAATGTGATAATTCAAGGCAAAGCTTTTCAAGAGATTTTGATTTGCATTCCTTTATTACACAAAAGGCAAAACTGCTTCTATTTCACTGCTTTGTGCCTACGGTAAATTCAGAATCAAAGAAAAGGCTTGTTTATGTTCTTAACTACTTAGATTACATTAATTTTTAGCTTTAAAGGGGCATTTCTATTCCTAAAGGCAGTAAATACTGCCTTTAGGAATAGAATACATACATAAATACAGCAAGGATGAGTAAAGAAACTTTATACCTCTTAATTTTATTTTTAAAGTGACAAAAGTTCTCACAAAAGACTAATATTCTTACAATTAATTTTTCTAAACTCCAGAGAGCATCAATTACCATTGCTACTTTATCTATAACACATTTTTTCCTTACCTCTTCATTAATATCAATAATATCTCCCACTTTCAGCTCCAGTTCATCCTCATTTTGTGGAATATACTCAAAAAGAACCTTACACTGACGCTTCTTGGTCTCTAAAGAAAGTAACATAATTAGAAATTAGATTAAGAAAAATCATTTTTAAAAACAGTATCTGTATTTACATGCCATGTAAATAAGTATATAGTTATATAAGTAAATAAAAACAGAACATATGAGCATTCTAAACAGCTAATCACAATCAGACCTGGTTGGTTTTTTACCCCAACCCCATACTACAATGTATTCATACACAAATAAATTCAATTTCAAATAGGATAAGGCTTCAGGAAATAGAATCTGCTTACACATCTTATCCCACCAATTACACAAAAACAAAATATCCAAACACCCATTACCATTTTGAGACTAAAAAAACAGACAATAGAAGACACTTTTGGCAGAACAAATTCATCACAGACAAGTCCTCTAGGCTAGTGATTTTCAGACTACTTCTTAATCAGGTCTGGGAATGCTACTTAAAATTAGTACTTTTACAACTGTCTGTGGAAAGAAGCAGCAAAATGTACAAATCTCCAATGTATTTTATCTTCTTTAATAACTATTTTCAGACAGCTAAAAATCAAATTCACTTATGTGAAGCTAATTTTACTTTAACTTTTCAAACAAACTTCAATTATTCAGAAATGATCATTTATAACCATTCAGACTTGTGTTCTCAACCTTTTTCAAGCTCAAAGAACTGAGAACTCAGACTCACTCCCACCTTTAAAAGTGAATCATTAAGCAGCTATGGGTAGATGACCAGATATACTTCTTGGTAGTCAAAGCGTGTTTCTTAGACCAGCACCAACAGTACAACTTGGGAGCTTGTGAGATATGTGCTATCTCAGGCTATACTCCACATCTACTTGTTAGGAACTGAATAAAAAGTTCCCTCAAAATTCATATATTGAAACCCTAACACCCAATGTGTTTGGCAATAAGGCCTTTGTGGGGTGATAAATAGGGTTAAATGAGGTCCTAAGGTTAAGACCCTAATCAGATAGGACTAGCATCCTTACAAAAGAGGAAGAGACATCAGCCCAACATTGCCCTCCCCAATATAAACAAAAGACCCAGTGAGAAAACAAGGAGACAGTGGTCCTCTAAAAGCCAGAAAAGAGGTGTCACCAGAAACCAACCCTTGATCTTGGGGCTTCTAATCCTCCGAAACTGTAAGAAGACAAATCTGTTGTTTAAGCTACTAAGTCTGTGGCATTTTGTTATGGTAGCCCTAGCAGACTGAATTTTGAATCAGAGTCTGTACTTTAAAAAGATCCCTAGGTGATTCTCAGTCTTGTACCCAATAATTCAGTCACCTTGATCTTTAATTCCTTGAAAATGGCATACCCTATTCCTTCTCACATTTAAATGTATTGTTTCTTTTGTCAAGGAACTTTATCTTCATCCATGAAGCCCACCTCCAACTCATCTTCACTTCTTGGCTTAGAAGACACTTCCAAATAGCTTTCTAAATTAAATGTTCTTCCTTTGTGCTACTCTAGCACCCTGTCCTTAGCCACTATTGTCTTCGGCAACCTACCCAGCACCAAGCATAGTACCTGGCTTATTCTAGGTATGTGATATGGTCTGTGTGTGCTGCTATAACAAAATACTTGAGACTAGGTAATAAAGATAGTACAAATTCACTTCTTACTTTTCTGGACTCTGAGAAATCCAAGATCAAAGTGCCAGAAGATTTTATGTCTTGCTGTGTCAACACATGGCAGAAGGGCAAAAAAGGGCCTAAGCTAGTTCCCTGCTCCTCTTTTATAAGGCACTAATTCATTCACAAAGCATAGCCCTCATGACTTCATCATTTCTCAAAAAGACCCCACCTATTAATATCACCACAATGGAAATGAAATTTCAACATGAATTTTGTAGAGAACCACAATTCAAACCACAGCAGTATCTGCTAAATATTTTTAAATGAATTAATAAACAAATATCTAGGTCTAGGTATATGGTATCAATGTCAACAAGAGCCTGTTGACATCTCAATATTCCATCAACAGCCTGTCACCAACAATCCTAACAAGATTTTTCTTAATACTTTAAATGCACATTTAAAGAACAGAGCAAGAAGAAAACATGCACAGTAAAAAAAATTAGTGATAAAAATTGAATACATAATGAAAGAGTAAAATAGTTAATACAAACTACAAATATTTCAAAAATTAGAAAGGACAGGTTTGAACTAGAACAGATATAGAAGGCTTCAAAGAAGAAATAACAGAATTATACGATGAAATATCGATAAGATACAAGAAGGTGGAACAGATGTGGCAGATATTCTAGAGCAAGGAAAACAGTTTTACTAACAAAGTAGGATTTGGTGATACAAGGATTCTAAGGAAAGAGGAGAACAAAAGAAAATCCTAAGAAGTAATCTAGACAGGCAGAATTTCACTGCATGAAATTCTAATCTCCAAATAAAGTCTTTGTAAAGAAAGATGCCATGCTATGATAGAAGTATCAGCTGTACTGAAAGTCAGAAGACTTATGCTCTGGTAGAGTTGTCATTATCTAGTTATTTCACTGAAAGTTTCTAGGAATCAATTTCTTGGGCCATAAAATTACAATGTGGAACTAGAAAACCACTACAGTTACTTCAGCTCTGACATTCTGTGGATCTACGAGATTATCAAGACAAAAGGTAATCTAAATGTACCCCCAAAACAACAAAAGAAGTACATTATATGCAAACGATAGCATAGAGAGGTAAAAAACAGACATAACCATGAAGTAGACAAAAGAACTGAGTCTCCAAATAAGAAAGTTACATCTGTGTTTTTTTCTCCCTTCTAAAGTAATCGATTTCTACCTTTTACTGTAGTTTTCATAATAAAAGAAACCAAAGAAAATAAACAATGACCATAATTTTTTAAGTAACGTAGAGTTTACAGTAAAATTTTTCACATTTCACCTTTCACCAGATCTCAAAGTAAATTTTTAAAGAATAGTTTTATGCATGCTACAGGAAAACTTCTTAACTCATAAAATACAGAGTCCCTAAATACCTTTGCAAGTTGTTCCACTGACCTTGAGAAAATATATTCATTAATGTATTATTTGTGGTTAGCACTTCATAGACAAGAGGCAAAGATCCATATTATTGAAATGAAGCATCTATTTTGCTCCAGGTGCTCTTACAAGAAGAAAATCCTTTCTATCTTTCAGATAAATTCAGACCTTTTTAAAAATGTGGTTTCTTTTTTATGAATTTTAGTATCTCTTAAAATTGAACTTGAGGTGAACTGGACTACACATTAGCCCCCACCCAGGTAAATGAATGAAGTTTGAGCAGCCTAGTTATATTTTAGCCAGGAGCTTTATTTTGTCCTCTCACACTAAGCATAATTTTTCCCAAGTAGTTTGTATTAATAGAATCATTTGCCAAAAAAAAAAAAAGTTTCATTTAATCAAAGCAAAGAGTCACATTGGATAAAGATGTCTAAATAGCTATTATTCCCATAACTTATGAGTCATTTATTTAAAAAAAAAAAAGATAATTACACATTATTTCATATTTAAATAGGGTTCGCTCATAAATTGAGGTGACTGCTTATACTGAATCCACCCATTAATTTAGCTGCCAGCACAATTAAGGTAGGATCTTGAGATTTTTCACATTTCGAGCTGCACAAGGTCAACAAATGTTAATTTCTACAATGTATCAGAACCCATGCTAAGCACAAAAGTAAAAAGAATAACAGAAGTGTCAATAAAAGGATACATGAAATTAAGTCCAATTAAAAAAAAAATAAACAGTAACTAGTATTTCTTTTTTCTTTTTTTGAAACAGGGCCTCACTCTGTCACCCAGGCTGCAGTGCAGTAGTATGACCTCTGCTCACTGCAATCTCTGCCTTCCAGGCTCACTTGATCCTCCCACCTCGGCCTCTCAAGTAGCTGGGACCACAGGCACTTGCCACCATGCTGGGCTACAAAAAAATACAAAAAAGTTTTTGTATTTTTTTGTAGAGATGGGGTTTGCCATGTTGCCCAGGTTGGTCCTGAACTCCTGAGCTCAAGTGATCCATCCACCTCAGCCTCCCAAAGGGCCAGGACTACAGGTGTGAGTCACCACACCCATCTATTAGTATTTTTGTATCATAAGTAACTTTTAATACTTCTCAATCTATAAAAAAATTAATTGTAAAAAAAAACTGTCTTTTAAAAATCATTACATAAGTAAAGCTACTAACAAAGAAGAGAATAAAGGAGGTACAGCAAAGGCAAGGACATACTGCATTTCTTTCATGTACCAGCACTATTCTAAATTCTTCACATCTCTCACACAACAAAGCATTAATACTCACTATCTCATTTACCAATAAGAGAAAAGAAAATAAGAAGTTAAATAATCCATCAAAGACCACATAGCTAAAGTGAGCTAAAATTATATCCACTTCTGGAATATTATGCCCACTTCTAAGCTTTTTATCTTTCCACGATAGCATGCTGCCTCCTTTACAGATTACTTAGTGCTTTGACATAGCTCATATAATCTAGTCACACTAGATTTTTATACCCCTAAAACACCATATACTTGTTTATTTCTGTGGGTCTACCAGAAGCTGCATTTCTTCCTTCTCCATGTGCTTGTACGTCCTACCTAAAGAAGAGCTTCAGTACACTTTGCTTGACAACCCTGTACAGAATTACGTTTTCATCTAAATTATCACTGCACATGCCTCTCATACAATACCAGAATAACTGTAAACATTTAAAAAGTACTTATAATTACTTAATATGTTAATGCCTCTTATATCCTATGAGAAAACTATGACTATCATCTCTATTTTATAGTAACTTGATGTTCACCCCAATAGACTGTGAATTCTGAATCATCCTTCATACCTAGCTTTATGTGGCAGATTTAATTGCCTAGACTATTACTTTTTCTCATGATCATACTATCCACAGACATAAATGCATTTAGCACACAAGGGTTCAAAAATTTCAGAAAACTTTGCCTGTTTAGTATTTTTTAAAAACAAAACCAAATTGTGTGACTCAGTAAGTCAAATTTCAGACTCAGTAAGATT